GGCAGCGGTCGAGGAAGGAAAGGAAGACTGGCGAGAGACGGTCCTTCTCCTTGATGTCCGGCTTCCCGTTCGTAGCAATCAGATAGAGCGCCTAAAATGCAGCAGCAGGAACAACTAGTGTGAGGCCTAGAAACGCTGAGAAAATACACTGAATGTAATGGTAATAGTAGCCAGGCCGAATTGAGGAGAAATGGTTCGATGCACCCAACTGTGAAAAGTGTGCGGCCTCGGTGCGATTCGAACACACACAGCAGGGGAGGCTTTAGCGTACAGCCAACGCTCTACCATTTGAGCTACGAGGCTCACCGTGCACCGTGAATTTAATCACACTTGGGTCAACTTGCTTGCCCAGCTTTACTGGAATCCACCAATACGGGCGCAGTAAGCTGACTGCCACAGCAGGACCGCCTAAATAATCATCTAGGATCCACGGAAAAATGCATGATAAAGCAGAGCCTGGGTGTGGGAACTGTGGGACTGACCCGTAGGGGATTCTCATTGAGATAGGGCGGTTCTCCATCCACCATCTCGATGGCCATGATGCCTAGGGACCAGATGTCGACCTTGGCACCGTACTGTTTGCGGGCCACAACCTCCGGGGCCATCCAGTAGGGCGTGCCCACCATGGTGGAACGTTTGGTCTTCTCATTGGACAGTTGGGCACAGAAGCCAAAATCGGTCAGCTTTACAGAGCCGTCCATGCCCAGCAGAATGTTGTCCGACTTGATGTCGCGGTGGATGACATTGTTGGCGTGTAGAAATTCCAGCGCCTGGAGAATCTGTGATTAAAAAAAACCAGCGGATAAAATGCAAGGGGGTGGTCATCTGACAAAATAAACCCGATGTCTGGGTACAGAGTCGTAGCGTAGTTAAGACGCTATAAATGGGTGTGGGCAGAACTGTAGAGGTCTAGCAGTGAGGGCGCTCAGCGCACTACAATTATCACGCCCATTTCCGTATAGGAAGAGAAGGAGTAAGATCAGTTGGACCTGTTGTATGCAGGCCCGAGCCCTGCGCGCGCGTCTGTCTGCTAGCGTGGTGTGGTCGGGAATGCCTAAGCGTCATGTGAGAGTGCGTCACTGGTCGATTGACCAACTGCTTAGC